ACTTTCGCAACTCTTAGAAAACATCTGTTGTATGAAAAAACGTCTGCAACACAAAAACGAATCATATGCTTTGAACTCTTGATATAAAAACTAAAGAAGAAAAAAAGAAATTCTACAATCAATAAATTAAGCGAGACTTACTCAAGCCAACCAGCTTCTAGAGACGATACCATGACCGGTAGTTCTGAGGGATTCATGAGGTAGTTCAACTGTCACTCACTCAAGAAGTAAGAATAATCCTTTATCAGTTAGCGTTATCTTTCCATTATTTTTTTTCACAAAGGTTGTGGTATTCCTTTATAACATTTATATGCTCTAAACGTCCTAAATATTTTTAAGATTAGAAAATACCTTAAGACGCTATTGGGCTTAAATGTGTAAACGATATTCATGCAAACGCACGGAAATATGTGTAACTTGTGAAAGGGGTACATGAGGGGGGTATAAAAATTGAAGAAGTGTTTATTGTTACCGAAATATAAGTTTGAACGAACAATATCTATTATGCTACATCCTATATGTAGCATAATAGATGACTCGAGAATTAAGATAGCGTATGATAGAAGGGTTAACGAGTAATGGACATAAAATATACGAAAAAAAAGATCCACCAATCTAAGAGTGAGGATACGGTAATCACCGGTCGTACCGTTGAACTATTGAGAGCCTTAACTGCCTAGAACGGTTAGTATACTATAGACTTTCGTTCCTTATTATGCTTGCATATGGTATTTGACGACAACGTCTGGATACCGGTGTAGCGGACAAACATAAGGATACTATACTCGGACACTCAACATAACTTTTGGATGATAAACAAGGATTTATTATAGCATAGATAATAGACAAAGCATATATATAAGATAAAGCTAAGGATACAAGAGATATATAAGATAGAATAAAGCATGACTATAAGTATTACATTAATATAAGATGAAGATAACTAATAAGCATAACTATAAGCTACATGAGTAGAGTTACAGTACTCTTCGATAGCGCAGCTATCCTCGAGCTCTGCTCAGATTCAACTGAACTCTCTGGATGAACATGTGTTAAGACTTCAGATGTTCTTTAGAACAAGTGTGTGATGTTACAATGTATAAGCTAAACTGCGCTATGGTCACATGTGATAATAAAGGATGCTTATACTCTCAGGGAGCTATCCGAATGGAACACTTTTTAAGCTTATAAGCGTAAAAAATCCGTTCAAAGCGTGTTATAGAACAAATAGATTCTCTAACTACAGAAACCAAACTGAGCCGTGTACTATGTCTCATTCTCATCTTCTCTCATTACCCGTCTTGTCTAGCTAGTAAATTCCATTCAGCTCGAGCTCACAATTTGTCCATACAAGCTTTTTAACAGACGTTCGAAGTGAAACGTCCAGAGAGAGCAATCGATAGATATCGTTGTAAAATATTTAAAGTAACCGCTGAAATGCTATTCAACCGTTGCGATGATTAAGTCGATTAGCATCTCGAAATCTCACTTACTTTTGTCCTTCATCTCAGTTATGCTTTTTTTCGTATTCTTCATCATATTATTTTGATTTTAAGATGTAAAATCGTTGTGGTTACTTTCTGTGGTAGGGTATCGGTTGAAGAGTACTAGAGTTTAACAGGTGTAATACAGATTTATTGAAGAGGGTACAGTATAATAACAAGAAGTCCAATCAGAAGCCATGATGCTTATAATGGATGCTACTTATAGTGTTCTAATCTAAGTGTGATTATTAGTCTTCTTAGCTATTTCTATTTTATGATGTCTGATAAGGAGTTACGTATCCACGTCCTCAACAAAATAAGTGTTTTAGTAACACTATATACCCGCCCACCTACCCTTCTTCTCCACCACCTTCAAACAACCTCATTTTTCCAGTTTCAACGAGAGGTACGCTCCCAAGGGATTCACAAGATGCCCAGCTTGACCGACCACGGTAAAGAAAGAAACGAAGAACTAACAAAACGGACTTTTCCCGATATCACCTGTTATCCTTCAGTATTGTTAACCATGCGTTTACGACATCCACAAGATATCTTTTTACGTTTTTCTCAAAACATGATGTTGAAAGCTAAACAAGACCCACTCCCTTACGGACCTGGGAAATAAGACCTTTCTCATTATCCTATGTTATACACTACAGTAAAAAGTTTAAGTGCAAACATTTTTTTTGAAATTTTGAGGCAGATGAGAATAAAGCTAGTGGTACTAAAAGATTTATTTCACAACTTAAATTTATAAAATGTGTTATCTTCGTTCTGAGCACAATTATATTCATAAATGTGAAAAAAAAACATTATTGTTTATTCCAAACACTTGAGTGTGCTTCTGCAGACGACCGAAGGTGATGTCTGCAAAAATTAAGAGTTTTCTGTTCAATTATATGAATGAATAGTTTTTCTTTCAATGTTAATTTGCTACTTTTAAAATAATCAAGACGTACCAGTTTTTTTAAAAGATTTCCCAGAGCTCCCCCAACTTCAATGACGTTGTTGAATGATGCGTTACAATCCTGATCGCTTTCTGAGCAGAAAAGCTCTGGGATTATTCGATTAAGATCATCCAGTGGTCTGCTCAATCGCTGAAAGAAAAGTATTGAATGTAGTTCATGCTAATTAATAGGTAGTTAGAACTTACCGTCACTATAAGGTTGAGCGCTTCCTCGCAAACTTGGCAGCTCCACTGTCCTTCAGGCACTTTCTGCCCTCTGTCAGTTCTAGAAAAATATACAT